CTGCCGCGGACCAAGCAAGTATATCTAAATTTTGAAGTAAATAGCTTACCAGCTGAGAGCGAAGTGGCTCCTTGATCGAAGCGCCGATTTGGAGGGTCTTAGTTGGGTCATCGGTCGAGACTGGGATGTTAACTGTCTCCTCTGTTGGTGTAGCTCACTCATCAGCATACTCCGTTGGTCGCTCGAGCTTGATGTCAGCCGCTTGCTTGGCTTTTCCCTTGAGGGTGGCTACGTAGCATTTGCGAGATTCGAGCTGGTCACCTCGCACAACCCCTACTCCATAGTCCGTAGGGAACTTCATTGCCAGGTAGTAGGTGGATACTACCGCACGTAGGGTGTGCGTAATGGGCCGCCCTACTATGGCATTGTAGGGAGAGGGAGTTGTTACTACAAGAAATGTGTGCTCGAACCTCACAATATTCGTCCACGTGCCGACCTCTACAGGTACTGAAACTCGCCCTAAAGGTCAGACCTCCTCGCCGCTGAAGCCTACCAGGGGAGTATCTGTCGGCTTTAGGTTGTTTTCCTGGAGCTGCAACTTGTCGAATGTGTCCTTGAATAATATGTCCGTCGAGCTACCCGAGTCCACTAGGATGCGCTTGACTTCGAAGTCGTTTAGCCTCAGCTTTATCATCAAGGCGTCATCGTGAGGATACTGGATCCCGCGCGCATCATCCTCTTTGAAGTAAATCGGGTCTTCAAGTCGGGGTCGCTTCGGCGGGTTCTGCTCCTCGCTTTCTAGTTCGCGGACTGAGGTTCGTCCTGTTGTCGAAGTACATCCCGCGATGATGGACCCGCCAGTAATCATATTGATTACCCCACGGATCGGTCTCTCTTTGGGCAACTGCCGTGGTGGCTGCTCGTTCTACCTCTTACTGGATTTGGGGACATTTCTTCTCTGGTTCTCTTGCCGGTCTGTTTGCCAATCTGCTTGGCTTCTATCTTCTCTGTATGAAATTTTTTAGATACCCACGACGGATGACCTCTTCGATCTCGTCGCGGAGGTTCCTACAGTACTCCGTACTGTGCCCATGGTCTTTGTGGAAGTGATAGTAGACGTTCCTATTTCTGGTGGCGGGATCTCCCCTCAACCTAGGAGGCCACTTGACAAATGAAGAGTTTTTGATGGCCATCAGGATTTCTCCTCGCTTAGCGTTGAGGGGTGTATAGTTCGTTCTTTCAACAGGTGGGGTCTTGGAGCGCTGACCTGACTTGCGAGATCGCGAAGGAGATTGGCTCCCAGACTTGTTTCCTCCCCTGGTCGGGGACTTACTCTTTCTTCTTTTATTCCCGTCATTACCTGTGGCTGTGTTGTCACCATCTCTTTTTCTTTTCTTTGCTGGGTTGTCTATCTTCTGATTCATCTCTTCCTCGGTTCCGATGAACTGGTCGACGAGCTTGAGGAATTCTGTGATGTCTTTTGGTTTATTGGCCACCACATGCCATTTGAATTCTCTGTGAGTTATGCCCTTTTTGGCTGCCGTGAGTCTTACCGTTGGGTCTAGGTCGGGGATCTGCAGGCAGGTGTCGTTGAACCACTTGATGTATCTCCTGATGGACTCCCCTTCTCTTTGAACTACGTTAAGTAGACTCTCCTACGACCTCGGGCACTTCTTGCTGGTGATGAAGTGCGAGGTAAATAATTCCACGAACTGTGCCCAGCTCTTGATTGATCTTGGCGCGAGGTTCCGGTACCAAGTCCGAGGTACTCCCTTGAAGGTGGTGGAGAAAGCTATGCACATGCAGGACTCGTCAGCCCCAGCTAGGTGCATCTGGGACTGGAAGGAATCCACGTGATCATTAGGATCAAAAGATCCGTCATACTTATCCAGGGGAGGCATCTTAAAGTCCTTGGGCATCGGGGTCGTTAAGAGCTCGGAAGACAGAGGGGACGACCCGGAGAGTAGAGGAGCGGTCTTTGTAGCTACCGAGCTCGCCTCCTCTTTACCTTTCATCTGTTCTTGTTGGTTCGGTCTCGCGAGCTGGCTGTTCTGTACTGAAGTTCGGTGTGCCTTGTGACGCCTCCGTTGCTGCTTCTTTAACGGTTCTGCATTGGTGCTGCTAACCTCAGTATGCTCTGGTACTGTTCTGCCGCGAGGTAGCTCTTGGTTCCTTGTGGGGTTCTGGGGCTGACTATCGTGGATGGAGGGGCCTTGCCTTGAGTTCGCGCCCAAAACCCCGAACTGGTTTCCTGTGAGCGGTCCTTCTTGACGCGAATGCTGAGGAAGAGTGGCCCTGTTGGGATGAGTGTCCCCGGACCTATTTCCGAGGTTGCCCCCCAGAGACATTCATCTCATTGCTCTGTCCGGCGTGATTGGAAGAGGCCATTGATTTCAGTGGAAAGTTGTTGATTGTGAAGAAGGCTTTTTGATCGTCTTCCCATAGACGGTGCCAATTGATGTAGCGCGATCTGACTGCTCCCTGTTGGAGGATGATCTGGCTTCCAGTCGGACGACGAGCTAAGTGAATCTGCAAGAAAGGATCAGAGAACCCGGGGTGGCTAACCCGGTGAGGTCGCTCCGATGCTTAAGTTAGTAATCTGATGCGAGCTGAAGAGCTTTGAGAGCTTAGAGAGCTAGAGAGCAGAAAAATCACGCGTACCTTGAGCCATTGGGGTTGGTGCCTTTATATACTGAAGTAGTCGTGGAGCTCACGAAAGAGCTCTGGGATATCCGGGGTGTGGAGATAGAGTTCGTTCCACTTCCGAAGGAGCACTTGATAAGGTTTATCGTTCCACTTCCGACTCCGGTGGAGTTGGGATGAGCCCTCATCGTAATCTTAGAAAAGTCAGGATCTGTTAGCTCATCATGATCTCGAGGGATTCGGGATCCGTTGGAGAGACCTCTGGGGTTGGTTACGCGGGAATCAGTTATGTGGTGATTCGAGTTGTTGATCCCAAATTGGTACTTCTGTTCCTTAGTTCTGAACTGGATTGAACACTGAGGTGCCTCGATGCCGAGGTGAACCTTATACCAAGGTGAGCCTTGCACTGAGGTGAGCTTTATGCCGAGGTGGCCTTGCATTGAGCTCAATTGTCGCGAACTATACTTGCCAGGCTGAGTTGTCTCCTCTTTGTCAGGTCGTGTCCACGTGTCCCCTCTTCGCTAGGTCGGGGCCAAATCACCCTTCATCATACACCTTGGCTGAATGGGCAATGTTTCCATTTCCATTGAACAAAAGAACACACTCCACACAGTGGAAGAGCATGCCCCTGCTTTACAGCCTATCGCAGTCAAAAACTTTCCCAGTACTGCTGTCCACACAAAAAACTTAATTTTAGAGGGAGAAACAAAATGCCAGATTCTGCTATCAGGAAACTCACATGCACTGCTGGTTCAGCTTCCTGTAAAATGATTGCACCTAGAACAGCCCACTGTTCTCCTGCCTCCACCTCCTGCAGTCAGGTTGCCCCATCTGTGGAAGGCAGATTGGATTTTCTGAATCATCTCCACCATTAGGTCCACTTCCTACAATCATTAAGTTTGTTCTAAGTACTGGATTCCAGGTAACCTGTCCATTCGACATCACATGGCAGTCCTTCAACAAAGCCTCTCTTTTCTGTGCAAGCATGAATTTGAATGGATATGATTCCATTAGAGGTTGCTGCCCACATAACCTGTCCATCTGGAATCTGATTCTATTACCTCCACCAAACTTATAACTCATCCCTTGAGGGAATTCAGAGTACACCTTTTATATGGAAGGTGACATTCTTATTGGGTAGTTTGAGCTTTTTACTATGTTGAAGAGCCTATAAGTTTTCTTCCTTGCAGCATCTTCTGATGCTCATAAATAGGCATTCACTGGTGTCTGATACAAGTCCACTTCTCCTGAATGTTGCTTCCTCAACTCTCCACCCACCCAAAGAAAACAGAAGATGGGAATTTCCATTCCTTTGGTGGCTTCTCTTTTCTTATCTGAACTGCCTTGTACATTTTCTTTTTGCACAATGCTACCAAGCATATGAACCAGTGATTTAAAAGGCGCACCTAGGCGCTCAGGCGAGGCGCATTTTAGGGTAGGCGCCTTGCCCAGGTCCTAGGCGCACGCCTGGTGTGCCTTGCACCTTAGCCCAGGCGTGCGCCTTTTGAAAATTTGCCGCTTTTTCCCTATTTTTGAGTCTAGCCGCTGGACCGGGGGCTCCGCCCCCGGACCCCCATGCCACGCTCCTTGAGGCCAACCCAAACAAGTCTCCGGAGCTTCAAGACCCCCCTATTTAGTAATGTTGTCAATTCATTCATCTTAATAAAATGTCTTCTTAAAAGCAAATTAAACTATAAAATTATTATTTTTTGTGTGCAATCTAAGAATTTAAGACCCTAACATGGTCTTTTTTGGATTTGCCTTGAGGGGCGTGACACAAAGGCGGCTCGTAGAATTAGGAATGTAATATATCACATTAGCTATTTGATGCAATTGAGAAAAATAGATTGTGAGTTTTATATGCTTGATTTCATCTTTAAATTCTCATTTGAATATGCTTTACATAATATATTTATGTATTTTAATTTTAGATAATAGGTTTTTTAAAACATTTATTTTAAAACTTAAGTTAATATTTTTATTAATATTATGTTTTATAATTTTTTTGATTTTTTTTGCATTTTTTTGAATTGTGCGCCTTGCCTAAAAAAGGCACACGCCTCGCCTTGTGCCTGTGCCTTGCGCTTTTAAAGCACTGATATGAACGGATCAGAAGTTGTAGTTGATATAAGTGCATCTGCACATGTCAAGAATATTTTTGGGGCCGGTATGCCACTATTTTATTTTTGAAAAGTGGTATGGCTGCAAAAGTTCTTGATGTGTTCTGTAGGATGTATATGAGTTTCACTGGTTCTCATCCTTGGCATTAACTTTTTTTTCTTTCATTTTGTTTGCCAAGCTGTTGACTTTGTTGATTTTTTTTGACTTTGGCTTATACCCTCTACCCTCAAAGTCTTAATGGAGAAATAAAGCCTAACTCTTTGGTATTGCATTTGGATGAATTGTGTTGAATTTAGCAGGTGAGCATAGCCAATATAAGTTATGATGAGATATATGATATTTATGGTGAAGTTACAGCCAGAGGTCTTTCAGCAGAATCATTGAAAAAACTTCCATGTCACATAATCACGGACACAAAAAAGGCACAGTATGGTGATAATTTCTGCTGCACAATCTGTTTGCAGGTATATGTACCTATGGTAAAAATTGGATGATGCCCAGAAGGGATTTTTAGATTTCATATATCTATAACACTTGTTACTTTAGTTTTTCCCAACGTAGTCTTACTTGCAGGATATTGTAGTGGGGGAATCAGTGAGAAGCCTGCCACTTTGCCACCACACATTTCATTTGACATGCGTAGACAAGTGGCTTGTTGGACATGGTTCGTGCCCTGTGTGCCGACAAGATGTATAGTATTGTAGGTTCTGGGTTTGTGTACATAAAGATCAACAAGCAGGTATGTGTTTTTGGGTCCTTGTAGCCTTTTTCAATTGCTGCTCCTTAATTTTATTTTATGTTTTAGTTCTATGCATATGTATATATTCCTTGTGTAATATACATGGGATCTAGAACTGTCACTTATCCGTCATTCAGAGGTGTATCTTCCACTCTTAGATCGGCCATGGAGAAAGCTGTGTACCCATTTTGGTTCTGTATCCGCATTGTTGGACTTCTTGGCATGTTTGATACATTGAACTTATATGTTAGAATAATCGGTTTATTTCCATTTCTTTTTTCTTTCCTTCATTTTTTGATATTGGAGAAGCATTTTATCTAACAATACAACCATTTTAGTTGAAAGAAAAATCTCTTATCTAAAGATTTTGAAACAAGTTTACTCGATTCCGAGGTGAATTCCTTTCTATTAATCTACCCTGCGAAATAGCTTGGACATCATGAGTTACAACTCCTTAATCCTTAGGAAAGGATAACTTGAACCAAGGCTGCTGTAATATCAAATATTCAAATAGTAGTGGTGATATACTGAACTTTTTCTTGGTCGATGGTATGCGACCAATGATAGGATTTTGTTTTAATTAGTCTCGGACATCAAACCAAAACACCAGGTGGGCCCCCATGATTGATGTCCTTGTATTATATTGAACTCTGGAGTCTGTTCTGTCAAAAGTTATCCATCATTATTATTTCTTTGCGCTCAACCTACGCAAGAAATTCGCCTACATCATTCTCTCTTTTCGCAATCGCACCATTGATCAGGGCTCAGGGGAAGGCATGGACCTGGGTTATGCTTATTCATGAGAAGTGAAACACGTGTTTAGAAAACCGGATCGGACCGGCCGGTTGAACTGGTTCAACCATGACCCAGGGCTTTGACTGGTTTGGTCATATCCCAGTAACCGGATTTGCTCAAAGTCTGCTAAAAACTGGCTGGTTGAACCGGAAAACCGGTGAACTAGCCCTGGTTTCATGAAACCGCTTAGGTCCATATATAAGTGAAATTTTAAAATGTTGTTAATAAGATTTGAATCCAAGACCTCTTATTTTTATAAATTACTTAATTACCACCAATCCACTTCTTTAAATGTGCTAATTAATGGTTATGTATTATACATATTACATTATTGTGCACGTATTTTAAAGAAAATGTAAGTCAAAAGGTTTGAACCTTGGCCATTTGTTTTAAAAATTAAGAAGCTTACCATCCATCCATCCATCATATTTAAGCACATTAAAAGTTGTAAAATATATTCTATATAATATTTATATGACCTACAGTATATATGTATATGTCACATCATCACAGTTCGATCCTGGTCGAACTTCTGACCCGTGAACCTCTCCCTTATTTGGTTCTATGCCCGGCCCGATTTTTGAACAGAGTGAAACCGTTTTCCTTTTTTTTTCCTTTCATTTTTTATTGTTTAGGAGCTCTAGTTTTTGGTAAAGTCAATCTTTATATGAACTGAGAATTTGGCCCTAGGACCAATGAAATAAAGTATTATCAGAATAATTTCATTTTCAAAATAAAAATTGTTGAAAATGCCTAAAACTGAAATTTATGGACCCAAACTTTTGTTTTTTAATATTCAAGTTTTTACATATTCCAAACTTCCTGAAATATTTCAAAATCTTGGCTATAACGAAATAAACAAAATATTCAGTTTAGTGTATCGGTGGTGCTAACCAAAACCTATGCCTTCTGGGATTTGTGAACAAAACCGAAATGCTGCAAGTAGTTTGAACTTTGAAGACTCGTTATTCAACTAAAGCTTTGATGGAGTTCATTTTGTTGAATTTAAAGATAGCAAAGGATCATTCAAATGTGATACAACAACAAACCTAAACCAAGGTGTTTATATTGCTCAATCTACATATCACATTAGAAGAATAAATAACAGGATAGGCATAGTCCTAGTTTTCATTGCATTAATGAAAAGTTGTATTGTATCCATTGATACAAGCTGAAACACAAAGGAGAAGATAGAAAAAAATGCCATAATTAATAGAAATGAATGTGCTTTTATTAATTATAATTATAATTCTATTAAATAGAAGGCTAGTGTCAATGTGCCATAGTGGCGTTTAATCTACCATATTAAAGGAATAATCGAAATACTAGAATCGAATATAAAGGATATCAAATAGGATTGACAAAGTAATCCTCATGGAATTGGGATGCAACTAATTCCCTTAAGGCTCTGTTTTATTCAAATGTTTAGATTAAAAAAAAAGGCAACCCTTTCAGGCTCAGAAGCTAATATTTATTAGGGCCATCAATTACTTTTTTTATTATTTATTTATTTTTCCTTTTAAATACAAGCACAACAAAATGGATGTAAATTAAATCAAAACCGATCTCTGACGTATCGGATACAAAGGTTTGGCAATCAGATGGATGCTAGCTCAAAATGAATCTGATCCAATTACAATTACAGTCCTTAAATATTGGTATGCTTGAAATAATGTCACTTACTTTGTATAGAGGGTAAATTATACCCACCCTTTGTCTTTTGGAAAGTTCACTGGCCCCTCCTTTTTCTAAAAATATATTATTGACCACCCATATATCCTTAGACTGTTTTCTTGTGACAAAAAATGCAAAATGACATCAATTGTCCTTTTATTTAGTTGTCCAAAGAAACGAAACAATAGGAAATACACATTGCCCAAAAGTATCAATTTAAGTTTGTCTATCATTGTGGGAAAACAATTATGAATTCATATCATCCTCTTTAGGCTCAGTTTGGAAAGACTACAAATACAAGTATGTGCAGTATACATTCATACAAAATAATATAAAATATAAGGTTTTGTATTGTATATATTTGTATTTGCACTTTTTCCAAACTCAGCCTTAGGGTCCATGGGGATGCACAATGGGTTGAGGCCCATCCCTGGAACCCATAACCCCCAACTTTAGTGTAGGCAGAATTTGATCCCAAGTCTTTGTTACAATGTCTAGAAACCTTACCAACTAGCCAGTTGGCATCTTGTGGGTGGTCCCTTGAACGTGTCGATAAAGAATTATATCAACAATGTAATGAAAATCTCCAATTCACCATTTGCCTAAGCATGTTCCAATGGCTGCCTGGGATTTTTTGGTGACATTTTGAAGTAAAAAAAAGTGTTGTTAGCCTTATCAACTATAATTTGAGAGCAAGGATGTCAGTGGGTCGGTTTAAATGGTAGATCAGCATTCACCCAACCCTATGGGATTAGGCTTGGGTTGGGTTCAATTTGATCTGAACTTGACTTGTTAACATTGCAACATTGAAATCTTGGTATGTATAGGGTTGGTTGAGTAAAGTTCATTATATATGAGATGATTTGGATTGGGTTTGATAATCCTTCTCTTTTTATATGAGTGGATTGAGTGCTGAACCCTGCCAATTTACATTCCTATTTGAGTCTCAATAAATAGAAGGTAAGTGAGAAGAAGTATGTGATAGGAGAGTCAGAAAAGCTTTTTTTTTTTTTTTTTCTTTGAAAATGTGGAAGGTTGGTAACTTTTTTTTTCAAAAAAAATAGAAGAAATTGGAAATTTTTATCCTAATTGGTAAGGCTGTATTTGATTTTATATACAACTAGTAAATGCATGTATATGCTGTATGCACTCATACAAATAAATGGTAAAAATATAATTTGCCATTATATAATCAAATTTAATTCTTATGACCTGTATCAAAACCAATACAGGTATCCCCTTTACAATACTATAGATATAGATTAAAAAAAAAGAGAAAGTATAAATGGATTTGGATGTGGGCTAACGGGTTAATCCTACAGGAGAACTACATACATAGCCGAGTGCAAGTACTGATATGTACTCCCCAAACTGAGCCATGGGATCCTAATAGGAATCACATACTGAACCTGTACCCCTCAAATGGTTTGTACATTTGTGGTGGCCCATGGTTCCCTATATGATGGGATTAACTGGTCCAAAATTTGATCGGATCCCTATTTGGAGAGATCATGTGGATACATTTTATAATGCAAATTTTTTGATGGTTGAAACCCGTAATGTGAGAAATAGGATTTCATTGTTGACCCGCTCCATTTTAATTCCTATTATCAATTTAGGCATAGGATGGCAATAAGTCACTTGATCTTTTAGTAGTGAATGGTCCCACACCCACCCACCTACCCACCCACCTACCTCATCATAACCATTGATCCCAAATCAGACGAACTGTTGGTTAATTGAACATCGTGATTCGTGAAGTGCGGGCCAAATGCTGACATTTTAGTTTCATTACATTTCCTTTTTCTTTTCTTGGAAATGGAAATGGTCACCACAGACTGGTCCAACCTGAACCTGTCTGGAGCAGGAGATCCTTCGTTTTCATTCCTGGCTTCAGGTTCAGAGTATATATTAATTAATTTCTACCAAAAAAAGAGAACACCAATATATTAATTTAAGAACTGGACTACAAATAAGCAGACCTTAATTTCGGGTGTCTTAATATATATTATATTTTGGCTGCAAGCCTTAAGACAATAGAGCCCATTAGCGTAAATATCCATTGGCCCATTGCCCATTAGATGGAGCCCATTAGCTGATATTTACCGTGAAAGTCGGAAATCTCGGTCGTGTGCTAAATGTGTTTCCTTCCGAACCCATTGAAATCGACGACGACGAGCCAACCATTTCTTTTTTTTTTTTTGTTTTTTTGAACAGAACAGAACAAAAGCAGAGAGAGAGAGAGAGGAGTCACAGGAAGTGGTGCTGGTGAGGTTATTTTTATTTTCTTTTGTTTATACATTTGTAATTTGTAATTTGTAATTCGTAATTTTGTAGTTCTATTTTTCTTTCTTGGCTCGTGAGGAGGCATGATACATACCACCGCTACTGCATGATTTCATAGGGCGCCCTCTTCTTTATGTTTCATTGCGCCCTTTTTTAGGGTTTTCTGGCTTTGGTTGATTTTTCTACACGAACGGTTGATGGATTGATTCAGTGTGGATGCTTAGTGGAGCTACCGGAGTTCAATTTATCCTCCTGCTTTGATTTCCTGGGGTTTCTTCTTTGATCTTGACGGAGTCGGATTTTTGGAGTTACAAGTGTCGTTCGGGACAGGGATTCGAATGGGCCATGGTTTTCTTCTTTGATTTTTTTTTTTCTTCTCTGAATTTTTTTCGGATGCCATTTTGTTACTTTGACTGGGATAGTTAGATTTTGTCGTTCGGAGCTCAGGGGAAGGTCGGATGAAGGGGTTTAGAAGCTTAGGCGCGAGATATGGAGGTTAGATCTGAGGGTCCTCAGTTGAGGACTGATAAGCTTCCGCCTCCGCCCCCTAGGACACGTGCGCAAGTCTGGTTCATTCGTATCTGTTCCAGCATTTTGCTCTGGACATGCATTGTTCAACTGGTTGCCGTTGGGGAACTCTGGAATCCGCGTTTGCTGACTGGCTTGTCGAACCATCTCAACGGGATAAAAACATCTCCTCTCCGCTCGGAAGTGGCTGCGCCGACGGTCCCGGTTCCTGCGAGTGAGTTCTTCTCCAGCCTAGCTTCCTTTTGTTTTATAATATACTTCCCAAGCTTACTGTTGCAACCACAAATTTAATCCCGGCAACTTCTGCAGATGCAAGGAAATAGATTTGATTTTCCGAATACCATTTCGTGCACGTGCATGAATTAGTACTTCATGGACTTAAATTGTTGCCCATGAATGGATCTAATGCTGACGCTTGTATTCGCAGTGCAACTTATCTAGTTATGTGCATTTCCATCGTTAAACATTTTCTAATGGGGGCGTTGCATTTCAAGCCTTGCAACAGAAATTTTTAGTTGTTTCAGTAATAATTTACTTTTAATAACTTACGAAAACCTTGACCCTTATTGGCACAAATTTAGTTGGTTCATGCTTGCTCCTGGTAGCATAAAACAGAGTTCAAATAAAATTTCCACCTTAAGGTCGTTTTTATTCTGAAAAAGCGAAAAGAATCATAGAGCTCTAAATAATCACTAACATTTCAGAGTTCAGGTAACAAAGCTAGACAACATATTTATAGGCTCATTTTGTTCTCAAGAGGCTTTGCAGTGTCAGCCCCTTACTACTCTCCATTTTCAGGTTTGTTCTGAAATCCTTGAACTCCTTTTGATAGCACCCATTAACCAATGGAAAAAAATTCTACTTGCATTCTTATTTTATTTTGTTTTTCTACTCACAAATACTTCATCCATGGACAATTGGACATCCTGTTTTTCTTTCTTTTATGTTCCTTTAGTAGGCAATCTAGAACCACAAAATCTTATCCGTCCATTATCAAGTTTTGCTATCTTATCTAGATGCACCTGGGGGATGTCAAAATGTTATGGAAAACGGTTCAAGATCCTTTTCTGGTTCCTAATGCAGAAGAGTATTCTGTTGTGTTCATCTGCCAAATCCTCAGTTATGATTTGGCAATTCACAAATGGAGTCATTAAGGCATTGGCTTTGATCTAAGCAAGATTATGATTATAAAGTTTAGTTACAAAAGGTCACCACAATGCCTGTCATCCAGGGTCTTGGGAGGGATGGACTGGTTTAGACTTAACCTCTGGCATTTTTTGTGCAAAGGGGCTGCTGTCAGACTTGAATTAAACAGGATTCATGGACATATAGTTGGGATAAGGCTTGGATGATAATGATGATGATGACCAAGCAACGATCCCTTATAATCACAAAGTTTAGTTATAGCATAAAAATATTTCCTGAATATGGTATTCAAATTACCCGAATTTGATTTGGTTATTTTAAATCTTGAATTTGAAATCAGATTTTTGGATATTGTTGGTACCCCTAGTTATTCTTGAAATCTCAGGTCAGATGATATTTCCTGTATTAAGAGATGGAATGCCTTTACTTCTCTAATAATGCTTCAGACATTAAAAATGCAAATGTGGGCACTTGGGAAACTTCCTGGTTCTTAGTGATTAACACTTTCACAAATGGGTATGCTGCAGGAGTTTATAAAAGCAATGGTTATCTTAGAGTTTCTTGTAATGGAGGCTTGAATCAAATGCGTGCTGCGGTTTGTATTCATTATTTTGCTTTTTATTCTTTGTGCTTCTGCGTCCTTTGATGATGTGTCTAAATCTGCCAGTTTTCTATTCAGATTTGTGACATGGTGACAGTTGCTCGGCTTCTGAACCTCACACTAGTTGTTCCGGAGCTTGACAAAACTTCTTTTTGGGCTGATCACAGGTATTTCATTGGTTTTGGAATTTTTAGCTAGAGCATTTTTATCCCTTTACTGCTTCTGGTTAAAGGAAGAAACAAGACATCCAACTTTTGGAAAATTGCCCCCTGCAGTGACTTTGGGGACATTTTTGATGTGAACCATTTCATTCATTCATTAAGAGATGAAGTGCACATTATCAAAAGGCTGCCGAAGAGGCTTAGTCAAAGAGCTGGATATCAAGCCCTTGAGATGCCTCCAGTGAGCTGGTCAAGTGAAAAGTATTACTTGGAACAGGTTTGAACCACTCTGGCTTATCTGCTGCAAAAGATCTTTTTCTTTTCAATGTTTTTCCTTGTTGTTTTCCGGGGGGGGGGGGGGTAAGGCAGGATTTGGTCCCAAGTTAGTAAAAACTACATATACTGTCTTTACCATCCATGCCAGCTTTTACCTTCATTATTGCAAAAATGCATTTTCACCTGCTGAAGATATAATTGTGTCCAGTGTTTTAAAAGGCATGCCTAGGTGCATAGGTGAGACACATTCTAGGGTATGCACCTCGCCTAGGCCCCAGGAGTAGCACTTTCGAAAGGTGTGCGCATGGTGCATCTAGGTGCACTTTTTTTTTTTTTTGCGTTTTTTGTTCTTTTTTGAACCTAGCAGCTGGGCTAGGGGCTTGTAGGGATTAAGAATTTAAGACCCTAACATAGATTTGTTTGGGATTTCCTTGAGGGGCTTGTTACAAAGGCGGCTCACAGAATCAGGGCAAGATGTTTTACATCAAACTAGCTATTTAAAGTAATGCAATCGAGGAAAAAAAGAGAGTAAGGGTTTTACATGCTTGAATATGTTTTATATGTTTGATTTTATTTTAAAAATTTCATTTGAATACGTCTTACATGTTAATTTTATGTATTTTAATTTTAGATAATAGGTTTTTTAGAACATTTATTTTAAAGTTTAAGTTTACATTTTTAATTAATATTATGCTTAATATGTTTATTTTTTTATTTTTTTTTGCATTTTTTTCATTTATTTTGATTCTTTTTTTGTACTTTTGTCCTTTCTTTGAAAAGTCATGCGCCTTGCCTTGTGCCTTGGGTGCAAATTGCCCCTTGTGCTTTTAAAGCACTGATTGTGTCCCATGTAGAGAGGAACCTGGATTACAAACACCAGTTCAGTTTCTTTCATTCTGGTTAAATCTACATAGAAAACCCTTACCCTTTCTTCTTCCTCTTCATCTTACAGTGGATTCTTTTTTCTCTTCTCCAATAACTACTGCTTCATTATTTATGGATGAATGAGGTACATAACTCCATTAATGGTTAAACAGGGGCAATTTAACTTTAAGAAAATTTGAACTAGATGTTTCCTTCTTTGAAGGGGCCATTGCTTGGTCTAATGGTAAAATCTCAGATTACAACTGTAAAAGCACAGGTTTCAAGTATGAGAGCAGCCACTTTGTATAAAAGATGCCAAAGGTTAGGTTTGTATCCAGTTCACCCCTTCCAAAAATAGCTTGGAGCAACATTGAGTAATGGGCCTTTTTCATGTTTCTTTCTTTGATGCTCAAGACTCAAGAGATGATATTAAAGAATCTCTGGTCAAGCAATGGTTAGCAAGAAACTTAGTAGAAATGGTTAAAAAATCTCTGGTCAAGCATTTGTTGGGTAATCTCCCCTTGGCCCAACTTAGTAGCTATACTGGAATTGACCAGGAATGCTGACTTAGTGACTTCATTTCAAAAGAAAACCAATGCTGGAATGAAGAAAAGTTGTTAGGAAAAATCCCAATAGACGTGGGAAAAGATCATTCCCATTCCCATTCCTGCTATTTCTAAGGAAGATGAACTGATCTGGAAACTGGACCTGAAAGGGAAAATTACCAGTAGATCAGCCTATGCTTTAAAAGCCGGAGATATGGGATTTGACACTACCCTTTTCCCAAAATTTGGAGTCTAAAATGCCCTCCGAATGTAGGTGTATTCATGTATTTATTACTGAGTAAAAAATTGATGACAGGAACTAGACTCAAGAGATGGGGTATGAGAATGGATGCAGACTGTCCATTATGTTGAAATGAAGAAGACCTATTCCTTCACTGTAGTGTGGCCCATCAGGTTTGGTCATACCTAGATCAGGGAATTCTTTTACCTATTGAGAACGAAGATATCTGTGATTGATAAAAAAAAGAACAAAGATATCTGTGACTGGTGGAGAAGAGAAAAAAGTATTAGCAATTCCAATACCAGAAGATTCTTTTTGGAGATCCTCAGCATGATGTTGTGGTGCTTCTGGAAAAATAGAAATTGTAAAATATTTGAGAACAAGAGCTATCCATCATATCTAGTGCTTGACAGAGCTAGAGCTTTTAGTTCTGAATTCTTACAGTCAAACTGCAGATTAGAGAACCCTTTGAACTTTCAAGACAACTTATCTCTTATTAGATGGAAGCCATTGGACAGTGGAGAAATCAAAATAAAATTTCGATGTGTCAAGGAGAGAGGATGGTTCTGCTCTTGGTGTCATTGTGAGTAGACCTGTTAACGGGCCGGGCTTTGCCTTTACATTAACAGAATATGCTCAGGCCCGAGCCCGAGCCCGGTCTGACCATCAGGCCTAGGTCTTGAGCTCGAGCTCGACCCTCATATAAAGCCTGAAGCCCGGGCCTGAGCTCGAGCCCGGTCAGAAATTTGGAAAAAATATATTTTCTTTTTTATTCAATTAAAAACTATTTTATTTATATTAAAAGACCTCAAAACCTAAAAAAATAATGAAAGATCTCACTATTACTTGAAAAAAGAGAATAATAATAAAGAAAAAAATATTATATGTATATTTTATTATATAAAATGTATTTTTATTATATAATACATTATCAAGTTGGTCTCGGGCCAGGATTTTTTGAGAAAGCCTGAGCCTGGCTCAAAAAAGCTCGGGCCTGATGTTTTAGGCCCGAGCCCACGGGCCTGAAATCCTGTCCAAGCCCGACTTAGATCGGGATGGGCCGGGCCGGCCCATCAGGCTACCCTGCCCATGAACAGGTCTAATTGTGAGAGATGAGGTATTGAGGTTGGAAAGGTTCCCTTTGTCGTCAGCAGACATGGGGGAGTGCAAACGAAGTGGAAGTGTTCTCTTGAAGCTCATAAGACAGCAGCAAATTTGGCATAAGAGGATAATCATCAAAGAGGATTCTAGCATAGTTATCGAAGGGCTGAAGGGAAGAGTAGATCCTCCATGGAATATCGAAGTTCTCCTTGAAGAATGTTATCAAGTGTGCCGGTTCTATGGTCTAACAGTCAGGGACATGCATGTTTTGAGAGAGGAGAATTATGCGGTGGGCTGGTTAGAAAATTATGGGAGTTTTGGTCAAAATTCTTCTTCTGTTTTTAGATGTAAAAGTCTTGCTTATATCTGTTTCTGTGATGTGTGGGGTCCTTTTTTTTGATCAATAACAGCAACTTTTATTAAGAATGCGTGGGGTCCTTATACCCCTTGTGGCTTGTAATTTCTTCCAAAATATCGAAAAAAAGGAAATAGGGGAATAGAAGAAAGGTTTTATGCATTCTGATGGTGTATGCGATTTTACTCTATCGCAAATCCATGCTATGATGAAGTGACTCCAAAGTAGGGATGTAAATGGAGTGGGCTAAATGGGAGACCATGACACTCCAAATGCAGTGGGCTTGGTAGTGGCTTATTTGAGGTAGGGGTGGGCTTGGAATCTAGATGGCCGACCCAGCTTAGGTTCCAGGGGAGTTAAGGTTCCAATATACCCAAATATCAGGTTATTGTATCCCACTTATAGAAGGTAATATACCACCAAGAAACAAGTCTTTTAGACATTTCATATAACCTTAGTTGCATAGCTGTCTACCATATATACAACATTTTAATTCACAACTCTTTTTTGCATCTTTTCACCATCTTCGGTGTTTAAACCTGCAGAATGGTCCATTTGTAGGGAAATAGTCAAGTAGAACCTCCAGAATAAAGCCACTGCTAGGATTGCCATCTCTCTCTCTCTCTCTCTCTCTGTCTGTCTGTCTCTCTCTCATATTTAGTTTCTTTCTTCTTGGATCTGATTTTTGGCATTTAAGTAACTGAAATTTGATGCTTCAAACTTCTGTAACATTCTCTGAAACTAAATTTTTAATGGCATGGAATGGGGCTATAACAGTTTTTATAAAGATTTCTTTGGGATGGGTTTTGCACTGCCTTTATATTTTAATGGGATGAGTTGGTTATTTTCAAATGAAAATTCGGTTGGGTTGGTGTTGGAATAGCTCCAATCCTTACTGGACCCAACCTGCAGGCTGCAGACATTCTAAGAATAACTGTCATTTTAGGATTACAAGTTTGCACCATAGGATGATTACTTATCATCATTTTATCATGCATATTTTAATTCATGATTGATAATCAATCATGCAGATTCTGCCACTTTTCAGCAAATACAAAGTGATTCGCTTCAACAAAACAGATGCACGCTTAGCAAATAATGGGCTTCCTATTGACCTTCAGAAGCTTAGGTGTCGTGTGAATTACCAAGCATTGAAATTCACTCCTCAGATTGAGGTGTTAGGGCACAAGTTAGTTCAGATTCTTCGAGGGAAAGGATCTTTTGTGGCGCTACATTTGAGATATGAGATGGACATGTTGGCCTTTTCAGGTTGTACTCATGGCTGCTCTGATGAAGAAGCAGAGGAGCTCAAGAGGATGAGGTTTGTTGCTCAACTATGGTGTTTTTGTTTCTTTTTCAGGGAAAATACTTATCCCAGGATTGGGAATGCGTAAGGGTCCTTCACTTGTATTAGGCCTGGGAAGTTTCCCGGAACAAATGTTAAACCATTTGGATGATTGTAATTATATGATATATTAACTTCATCTGGAAATCTGGGAATTCTCATTATTCTAAGAAATCTTTTGAGAGTCCTTTTATTTTACTACAGGGGCTTTTCTTTTTTTTCTTTTCTTTCTGTTGGATTGGTTAATATGGGACTTCATGGAAAAGTAAGACTAGGATATTGGCTAATGTAAATAATATATTACTATGTCATTCAGGTATGCATACCCTTGGTGGAGAGAGAAGGAGATAAATTCTGCAGAGAGGAGATTACAAGGTTTGTGTCCTCTTACACCAGAGGAGGTTGCATTGGTTTTACAAGCTTTGGGCTTCCAGAAGGATGCTCAGATCTATATAGCCTCTGGCGAGATATATGGTGGTGAACGAAGGCTCACAGCATTAAGAACTGCATTTCCCCGAATTGTGAGTTTTCTGTCATCCTGTTGTTAGTCCCTTTATAATGGTACAACCAATTCTTTGTTAAGTAACAGTTGGGGGACTGAGAATAATAGTTGATAGCGCCATGGGTGTTGAGCATATTTCTTTTCTCAATTAAGAAATGCACTTTTTATAGAGGTTAGGAGGATGGAGGTTAATAGTGAGGCCCTTTCATATTTAAGTGTTGTGTATGACAGAACATCTACATATCATGACATGTGCACTCAACAGCTGAAAGCCCTTTTTAGCCACCGGTAAATGTGCATGTGCTTTGCACGTGATAATTTTTGATGATGGTGATAGTAAATAATATGTTTCTAAACATGGTTGACCTGGATGCTACTCTGTCAATCAAACGAATTGATTTGTAGTCCTCCTGATTCAACCACATATGTGCATACTTTTTGCCTTCTACTCTACTGCATATTTTCCAAATTGTTTATTTGGATCCTTTTTTTGTCCTCTTTTGTAGGTGGGTGTGGAACTTTGTATTCTTTAATTTTACAGAATCTGTCAATGATTTCAGGTGAAGAAGGAGATTTTGCTAGACTCAGACAATCTACGGCAGTTCCAGAACCACTCATCTCAAATGGCAGCACTGGATTTTATGGTTTCAATTGCCAGTGACATATTCATTCCGACTTATAATGGGAACATGGCAAAACTTGTTGAAGGTCACCGCAGGTTGGTCTTATTCTGCCTTGTTTCTTATCCATATTTTTTCTTTTTTTGATAGATTTATCCAGTTTATTCAAGGTGCACATAAATAAGCTTAGTGCTGTTATGCAAGCATTGACATCTACCAAGGGGCTTGAGCTGTGGCCTGTGTGATCTGCCTGATCATTTTGGGCCATGTGGTGTTCCTGAAGCACTGATACCTCAGGAACACCTTCAGATAATATGCTTGGTTGAGATTCTCCTTGGCATATGCACCTTGGGGAGCCTTAGAATCAGCATATAATTCACATTGCGCTGATGCTGCTAAAACGGGCAAAATTTGAGCTTATTTGGTGGGTAGATAGGTCAATAATTCAATTGGAGAAGGTAGAAGTATTTTCCCTCATGGTTGAGAACATAATATATGACCTTGGCACTGGCATTTCTCAAGAACTTACTTTTTACGGCTTGTTCTATTTCTAGGTATCTTGGCTCTGGGAAAACCATCTTACTAGATCGGGGACGGCTTGTTGAACTTGTTGATTCCTATCAGAATAGGACACTTTCATGGGATGAATTTGCAGTTGCTGTACGTTTGGCACATGAGAAGAGGATTGGACAACCAGCTTGCCGCAAAGTTATTTTGGGTAAGCCAAAGGAGGAAGATTATTTCTACTCTAATCCTCAAGAATGTCTCTGTGATAAATTAGATTGCCACGAGGTACTGCGCCCTTGCAACTAAAGTATTGCTCAATGAGGAAGGTGAAAAAAATTCACGGCTGACCTACCTAGTGATTCTCAGGATGAAAGCCTGAAGACCGAGTCTCGGACCACAAACTAACATATGCCTAATTGCCTATACTAAAGCCATGTAAATCATGGCAAGAAAAGGAAGCAAAAATTTTCCCTTAACCCCCGTTCAACTTTTTTTTTTTATTTTGTGTTTTTTCTTTTTTTTTCTGGTGTCTTTATTCTTTTGTTAATATATGTTATTTCTTTTCTTTTATATGGATCCATCATCCAACATATCTGGTTGGATATTTTGAAGATCGCTATCAAGGAGATATGGCATGTCTCTCTCTCTCTCTCTCTCCCGGTGTGATATTTTCGCATGGAGGGTGCGAAAACGTTTCCATCCCAAAGATGTCAAGTTGACGACTTGATATATTCCCCAAGGCAAATATGTCACAATTCACAAGGTCTACTTGGACGAAGCAAGAAAATGCCTCCCCAATCAAACCAAGATCTCTGAGCCTCCTTTCTTTGTAGTATTCCAAAATCATCCATCTCCAACTCGAAATGTCTCATCAAGGCATCAATCTGCTCCAATTCTTTCTTCTCTCCGGCCCTTATCCTAAGTTTCCCGACTGCTCTATCGAGTCTTTCTTTTAAGGTTGGAGATTCCGGATTCGTATGCAGAGCATGACGGTAGTGGATTGGATGTTGCTATTTAGATGCATAGGGTACCGATGACTGGAGATGTTGGCTAATTATATGCCATGACTTTGTTGTAAGTTGTAACACTACTCAGGCCAGTCAAAGACCGCAAGGCTTTTTTTTTGTTTGTTTGTTTAAAACCGCGAGACGGCAAACATTATTTATTTTTTGGGATTATAGCTGATGAGGGCAACTTTTGGGCTCTAATATCAATAAAAGTAATTATTTTAATATAATTTTTAAAATAGGTTAATTTTTTAAAAAATATATCAAATAAAGGCAAAATCACTGTTCATCTTCTTCCTCCTCCAAACCACTTTCGCCCCAGTCCCGTGAATCTCAATGATCACCATCCATCAGTGCCTCTGTTGCCGCTTTTGCCCACCTCCAGCAATGCTCATGTAAAATATTGTTTTCTATCGATATGGAGAAGGTCGTGGAGCTATTGCTATTCATGTGAAATATTGTTTTGGGCCCTAATATCAAACGGTGCAGCTCATGTAAAATATTGTTTTCTGAGAAAACATTCATGTAACCAGTGTGGGGCTGCTGTTGTTGAATGCAAGGTTCAAAATATTGATACGCCCGATACGCCGGTAGGGGTGTATCTGGTGTTTCGATACTTGTTTTTTTTTACTTTCTTTTTATTTTTTTTTCAAAATTGGTTCAGGGGAGCTGGTCTAGGACCCCCCCATCCCCTGAACCGGTTAGACCCCCGATACACCCACTGTAGGGGCGTATCGGAAGGGTCCCAGAATGATATGTATCGGCCGATATGGGCCGATACGTAACGATACTTTGAACCTTGGTTGAATGGGCCGACTTTGCCCATTTAATAGTCCGACAAAGGTCGTGGGGCTGGGGCGGAAGTTGATCTGGAGATCTTCATCTTTTTAGTCATTGAAGTAGATGGAGGTGGGTGGCATTGGCGTTGGCGAGCAGAGGTGGACGACGGATTGGCATTGTTAGAGGTGGGAGGAGGTGGCAGCGGCAGAGCTGATGGATCATGGAAGGTAGTCATTGAGGTTCATGGGGTTGGGGTGGAAGTTCTGCCGCAGAAGTGGTTTGGAGGAGGAAGAAGATGAATAGTGATTTTATTTTTATTTGATATATGTTTTAAAAAAATAACTTATGTTGGAAATTATATTAAAAGAATTATTTTTAAGATATTAGGACCCAAAAGTTGCCCTTATCAGCTATAATCCCTTTATTTTTTCCCTTTTAGAGGGTTGGTGCATCTACGTCTAGTCATTCTAAGATGCCATGCATCACGACGTGACTGGAGGGCCAAATCCGCCCTCATCAATTGCCCCCGACTCCTGAGTTGAGGGCAGCTCGGCGAAGGGAGTAGATCATTCCTTTTGGCTCGGAATGACTGTTTGATGATCTCGTAGTCGTATGCGTTGGTCTAATTTGCTTCTCAGGTCGGAAGAGTTAAAGTGTTTGCAGCCTTACGCAGGACCTTACCGTCTTGATTTTCAAGGCATGAAAGCGGACTCATCCGCTCGAGGAGAGGTGAAGCAGGTATCCAGAGGACATCTACCTTATTAGGGATGCAACCATCAAGGGGTTCTGCAATCCGACCTATTAGCTCAAGAGCGGAGCTCCTCATGCCGTCCTCAAGAAGGGGTTCTAACCACGTGACTGCTTTATTAGGTCGCTCCGCTAAGTATACTTCAATTCAATGTCACTCGAACTGGTTCTCAAAAGAGTAGCCAATGAGTTCGACACGGAGCCTGAAACCGAAGTGAAGAGATAGTCCAAGTTTGCATCCGTCATGGTGCTGAGAGTGAAGTAGTCTTTCCTTTGTTCTTTTTCTCGTGTTGAATGTGAACTGCTTTTTGTTTCGCCCGTGCAAAAGAAGCAATTGGGTCTTATGTGGTGCCGAGGTGATAACCTTAGCCCTTAGGCTCTGAGAGCGACTTGCAGTCCACTCTCCTTATCTTTGATCTTGCCCATGTTAAAGAGGCGATTGGGTCTCATGTGGTGCCGATATCTTTTATCAGCTCGGCACCTTAGCCCTTGGGCTCTGGGAGTGACTCACGGTCCACTCTCCTTATCCTTATTTAGCCGACGTGCAACTTGACCTTTCCACCTAAGCGGGTGGTCATTCTGTAGTAACTTCTCATATGGCTGCTTCTACGTCATCCCGTGGGATTATCTTATTGGGTGAGTGCTTGCGAGACACAACGTACATGTTCTGCCCCCCTTGCGAGGGCATAATGTTGTTGTCGGTGTGAGTCGGCAGTTTAGGGCCACGACTACACTGCATCAGCCTCATTAGTGACGCTGATCATCCACTCCTACAAGAAGCCACTGGGAGCTCGACCTACGGGGGCAACACTACTGACTCTAGGTCACTAGCTCGCACAGGAGCCTTGGAAGGCTCGACCTGCAAGGGCTTCCATGCAGTCCGTTGGCTGCCAACTCCCGCGGAAGCTACGGAGAGCTCATCTTCTAGAGGCGACCTTGCGAAACAGGGCTGGTGAGGCCTCATCTTGGCTGACTGCTGTTGAGGATGTTCTGTTGTTGTCTACATTAGGCTTCTCCCATGCTCAGATATGGAAATTCATGCTTCATCTCATAGAACTGCTACGCTTCAATCCCGACGGGAACCACTAATCGCTCTACTGCGGGGAGAGGGGTGTTCACATACAATAGCGGTGTATTTATCTATGGCACTGGGGATGCTGAGTTTGGCCTGAACTTGTCTGCTTGTCAAAGGGGAGTTCTCCAGGTTCCTCATAGATGTTTTTGCCCCCCAGTAATCGATATTCGTTCTGGTTGTTGATGTTGTTCAAAAGTGCTTTTGAGTTCATAAAAAATGGAAATTAGAAAGTGAGAACTTTAGTTTCTAAAATGTGAGATCTTAGCTTTCTGGAAGAAGAGGATTTAGCTTTTTAGAAGGTGAGAACTTGGCTTCTTGTAGCGTTTTCCGCAGACGGCGCCAATTGATGAAGGGTTTTTTGGCAGCATCCTATCGTTCGAACTACTTCTAGGTGGCCGACGACTCAGAGGCTGAAGTGGAGGATTTTTGCTGGATGAGGACTTGGATGTCGAGCTGACTAGGTCGAGTTGGGGGTAGATTGGGTGCCAAGCTGGGTTGATTACTGAGCTAGGTAGCTCAACAGAGAAACCTGCAAGGAATCAATGTTAAATGACCCGGGGTGGCTAACCCGGCGAGGTCGCTCCGATGATTAAGTTAGTACCCTCGTAGTAGATCGCGAGATAAAAAAATCACAAGGTATGAGAGCTAGAATGTGCTTACTCGCTTCTCCTGTGTCATTCGGGTTGGTGCCTTTATATAGGCATTGTTTGGTGTGGGCCTCATGCACCGCACTCGGGATTTTTGGGAGGTCGTGCCTAACCATTCTGAGATCCTTGGAGGTAACTGCCATGCATGTTGACCATCCTCCGGAACATTTGGTATGTGGGCCAACTTCCGAGAAACCTGGGAGCATCGGGATATGCATGCCGAATTTGTTGGCGAGCACATATCGCAGGTCACCACCTGGTCCCCAGTCAAGTCGGCAAGCCCTTGAGGGAGGTCGCTCCTCGCGTTGAGGTCACTTTGGCCGGTGATGAGGTGCTACAGGCTGACCCTGGACGAGGTGCTGCAAGCCGACCTAAGTTGTGATCGAAGTCGCCAGGTCGGGGTAAAGACGAGTTACGATCTAGAACTCCAAATCATCACTTAGGTGATGTCTTGGTATCATCATTCTGAGATGCCATGCGTCACGACGAGACTGGAGGGCCAAAAGTTGCCCTTATCGACTATAATAGGTGCATCTACGTTAAAAGGTTTGAAAAAAAAAAAGGTAAAAAGATCATCACGTCATTCTGCTCTGTTCAGTGCTATATCTATTTGTCAAGTGTCATAGGCCCATAAATCATTTCTCAGAACTTAAACTCACTTCTTTTTTGGTTTCCCCGTGACTCTTCTGGACACTTCAACCTGTATTCAGATTACTTGTTTCCACAAGTACTACAATGATCTTCTCAGCCTGTGATCAAACCATTTGAATAAACACTAGAACTTCAATTTTGATTTCATCTTGTTTTAGTCGCTCAGTTTTCGGACATGTTATTTTTCGATTGCTCAACACTCAGCTCCATCGACATTAATGCTGGCCTTGTAACTGTATTCTATCCACCCGCCATGGCTTCTTTATCTTGTCTTGGTAAAAGCAATTTTTTAGCAATGCCATAAGATCATCAAACCCAATACAGAGTATTTTTAAAAGGCTATATTGCCTAGTGATGTTCTGGTGATTTGGAAGATTTATACAAAAATAGTAGGTTTAAGTAAGACTTTACTAACTTTTTTTTTTTTTTTTTTTAATTTGACAG